AATATTAATCAAGTGATATGTAGAACAACATATAACTTAATAGCCAAATGAAATAAGGAATAAATTAAGAAAGTAAATACATGTTTCCAAGAGAAAACACACAAATGTTTAATATCTATATTAAAAATGCTCAGCATTACTGGTCGTCAAGGACATGCAAATAGTATTTGTCAGCTTGACGTGCCCTGAGATGCTCCTCACGGATTAGCTGCTTCTGAGTGTGTCTGTGGAGGGCTCACATGCAGGCCAGCACAACGGCAGGGCCCTCAGCTGTGGGCGGCAGCCAGCAGGATGACTAGTAACTTGGCAGTATAAGGGGGAGAGAAGCAGCAAATGTTGCCCATCTTTAGAGGCACCCCAGCCTGCAGCTCTGCCTTTGGGCTCTGAGCTCCAGGGCAGACTCTCTGGCCTTCCAGTACATATTCTGCAGCCTTGCAGTGTAGGGAGTTGGGATTCCAGCACAGACTCATACTGGTGACTACAGTGAGTTTGCACTTCTCCGACCTCTACTGCTCCTGGATCCCTAGATCTCTAACGTGAAGATGGATGCTGTGGATTCTTCTGCCTCTTTTTCTGCCTAAGGCACAGGGGAGTCTTCCCCTCGGATCCTGTATGCCTTCCTAATAAATTCCTTATACATTTTTGATATTGACTCTGTTCCTCTAGTGAACATTAACTACTGCAAGTCAAAAGGAAAATGAGATGTCACTTCACTGCTGACAGAATTGCTATTAACAAAACATAAAAAGACTACTGTATTGAGAATGAAAAGAGGGGTGTTACCTGGTGCTGGTGCACAGGTTCTTCACTCCTTTGGACCTTAGAGCAGAGCCACATTTGGGACAGGTGTAATGTGGAGCAGGTGCTTCTCAGTTTAAACACTGCAACAGGAAAACAGTGTAGTGACACACTGAGAGTGACAAGAAAACATAATCTATTATTCTAAAATTCTAATCCCTGAAAATACACTCCAGAAATAAAAGAAAATAAATTATTAGAAAAAAGAAAAACCTTGGGCTGGCCAAATACCTAGTGGATTAAAGAACCTGCATGCAGGTATAGGGGTTAGGGGTTCAATCTCTGGCCGGGCCTGCCTGCTGGCCCTGCACGTCAGGCATGCTCAGAGGAGAACTGAGACTGCACTTGGTGATACGCACCTATAATCCCAGCTCTTGTGAGGCTGTAAATAAACAGGTGGATCACTATGTGTCCAATGTCATAGAGAGACAATGACCACCCTGTAGATCCTTTAATAAGAGTCAAAGAAAAGCTTAGAAAATTTATTCCCAGGTGATATCCATTATACCAAGTGTTAAGGGAAGTGTTTCAGGCAGAAGAAATATGATACTAAAGAGCAAGTTGCATCTACCACAAGAAATAAATAACACTGGAGTGGCGTAAATAAAAAAGTAATATCAAATTCATTCCATCTTTCTGAAATTAGTATATAAGATAAACTACAAGCTACAGCAAATGGAGAATTGATACTATGTATCTAGAGCACAGGTACAATAATAGGGTAGTTAGTTATACTATATTGTAACAAAGGAGGAAAGGTAAATTTTCACTGGTTCTCAGGCTGCAGAGAAACTGTATTACTACTCCTTGAACATAGATTCTGATTAATTAAAGATACATATTGCAACATCTGTGTTAAATAAAAGAAAAAATGTAGAAGAGGTATAAATTATGAAGTATAATTGGAATCATAAAAAGCCAATACACCCAAAATAAACTGAAGAAAGAGAAATAGCTGATGAAGCTACTAAAAAGCTGATAGCAAATGGGTAGATTTTAACCTAAAGATATTAAACTAAGAGTAGGAGAAAAGAGGTATCAGTCAAACACTCGTTCAATGAAACACGAAGTGCTAGTATTTGCACAGTATACAGTCCACAGGCAAAAAGAAATTGTCATTCTAAACAATGGGTATGAATGCAAAAACAGCATTACAGTACACTAACTAGAACTTTAGAAATGGAAGCACTCCTGTATAGATAAGTGACAGAAAACTCAGTAAGCACAACAAAGACAAAATGAAATAGTCATTTATATAAAATCCCACGAAATAAAAGCAGCATACCTCTTCTTATTTATTGATAAAAAAGAGTACAAGTAAGAGATAAAACAGAAAAGATTACAAGTGATACAGAATTTCATTTAAAAAAGTAATACGAACTTCACAATATTTGTTGTAATACATAGCTGTCTTCCAAACAGCTATTCATATCACCAGATATATGCATGTAAAATTGGAAGAAGAAAAAGAAAGAAATGTATAATAAGTTAAAAGAAAAAGAACAAACTATTGAAAAAAGGAGGCAAAACAAATTAAAGCATTTAAAAAAACAAAGGGCCAGGGATATGACTCAGTGGAATAAGCGATTCCCTGGCATGTGCAAGGGCCTGAGTTCAATCCCCGGTTCCGGCAAAAACACAAAAAAAAAGAAAGAAAAGAAAAAAGAAAAAAACAAACAAATTAAAGCCTTTACTGCTCCTTTCCATAGACCAGCAGAAATGCACAGTACAGTTGTGCAAACCATCCTGTCTACATACATAAATAAATAAATCTCATTTTCCCACTTGTTATACTGTCCTAGACTTTGAAATATCAACAAAAAATTTGTTTTATAGAAATAGTTTTGTAACAATTTTCTAATAAACATTCTCTAGCAGTAATGAATAACAATTAGCAATCAATACCACAAACATATATGTAAATTCCCCAAACATTTGGAAATAAATCAATCAATCCTAATTGATCAAAAAATACAGCAGGAAATCTGGAATATTGTGAATGGAAAGAACAGAAAGGATAGCATTTCAAAATTATGGTTATTCTGTGAAAAAAACTTAGGTATAAAATGTTTAGATTATGTGAGAAAATGTTTCAATTTAACATGTGAGCTTCCATTTTAAGTAATTCAAGAACAAAAGAAAAATATCCAAAGCGAGGAGAAGAAAAAGGTTAATAAAAACATACCAATGAAATTCAAAATGAAAAGGAACAGAAAAAAGAAATAAGTAGAAAAAAATTAAACCAAAAGATTGTTTCTCAAAAAAAAATCAAAATCAAGTCAGACACAGCAAAA